AGAGGCTTACACACAAAGACACAAGCACAGCATGCAGGGCTGACATTCTTTTCTGTTCACTTCTAGTTTTATCGCCATTTTGATAACCACAACAGTCCTCCGAGTATGGCCAATCTGTCGCCAATTTTGTCGAGTAATTGAAAAAGAAGGGCATCAGATCTCTCACAGTTCGATAGATGTTTCTTCATTGTCCTCTAGCCAGTTCTGAAGCCAAACAGCTTCAAGAAGGTCAAAGCTATCGTCATAATCGGACATCCTTCACCATTCTGCCTCTTCACAAACAAAATGTCAGTCCAAAAAAAACATCTCCATTGTCCCAATCTCCCAGCACCAGTCAGATAAACCCTGAAATCAACCTTTTGGAGCTCTTATCTCAAATCTCCACATTCAGCAATGGAGTAAATGGTCAAGTCCCAGTCGCCCCCTCTCTCCTTGGTGTTGTGTGAGGGAGCAGACCATGTCTCTCTCCAGAGAGGCTTGTAGTAGCTTCCCAACGTGTCATCCCATGCCACCAGCTTGTACTTATCGCAGCGCTGGGACCCCAGACCAGAGTCACTGTCTCTGACCTAGGGTCAGTCTTTTAAGAGTGCTCCCTAATAGAATCGTACGCACCTCAGGGCTCAGACACAAGCTATCTTCCTCGTGATAAGAAAGCTTTATGGCGGGATACAATGCTGAGCAGTGCAGCTGCTGTGAAGTGAACTTGATACCGTTTTGCCAGTGCAAAGGTTAAGACTGTTGGCTTCTGTATCAGCAAAGACAATTCCCAGGCTTGGTTGATGATGTAGGGGGCTGGGTGGATGATGTAGGGGGCTGGGTGGATGATGTAGGGGGCTGGGTGGATGATGTAGGGGGCTGGGTGGATTTAGGAGTGTTTTAAAATGAGGATAAAGCATGTAATACAGTTGTAAACAGCAAAATGTTAACAAACTGGAGACCGGTTTGGAGGCAGAGTTCGTTTGCTAGCAAAGACCGATGCAGTACCAACTGTAAATAAATGAATAGTTTCGTTCCAGAAGAGGGTTGGCCAAGATGGTTAGCTAGTTAAATCAAATCAAATCAAATTTTATTGGCGACATGCGCCGAATACAACAGGTGTAGACATTACAGTGAAATGCTTACTTACAGCCCTTAACCAACAATGTGTCACGCCCTGGCTCTGGGGACTCTTAAATGTTGAACCAGGGTGTGTAGTTTCTATGTTGTGTTTTCTATGTTTAGTTTCTAGATCGTTTAGATCTATGTTGGCCAGGGTGGTTCCCAATCAGAGGCAGCTGTAGCTCGTTGTCTCTAATTGGGGACCATACTTAGGTGGCCTGTTGGCACTAGTGGGTTGTGGGATCTTGTTCCGTGTGAGGTATGTTATTTGTCTACCTTGGACTTCACGTTTCGTTTGTTGTTTTGTCGTGTGTTCAGTACGTAAATAAATATGGATGCATATCACGCTGCGCCTTGGTCCTTCTCGTTCATGAACGATCGTGACACAATGCATTTATTTTTTAATAAAAATTGTAAAATAAAACAACCACAAAAAAGTGTTGAGAAAAAAAGAGCAGAAGTAAAATAAAATAACAGTAGGGAGGCTATATATACAGGGGGGTACCGTTGCAGAGTCAATGTGCGGGGTCACCGGCTAGTTGAGGTAATATGTACATGTGGGTAGAGTTAAAGTGACTATGCATAAATAATTAACAGAGTAGCAGCAGCGTAAAAAGATGGGGTGGGGGGGCAGTGCAAATAGTTTGGGTAGCCATGATTAGCTGTTCAGGAGTCTTATGGCTTGGGGGTAGAAGCTGTTGAGAAGTCTTTTGGACCTAGACTTGGCACTCAGGGACCGCTTGCCGTGCGGTAGCAGAGAGAACAGTCTATGACTAGGGTGGCTGGAGTCTTTGACAATTTTGAGGGCCTTCCTCTGACACCGCCTGGTATAGAGGTCCTGGACGGCAGGAGGCTTGGCCCCAGTGATGTACTGGGCCGTACGCACTACCCTCTGTAGTGCCTTGCAGTCGAGCAGTTGCCATACCAGGCAGTGATGCAACCAGTCAGGATGCTCTCGATGGTGCAGCTGTATAATTTTTTGAGGATCTGAGGACCCATGCCAAATCTTTTCAGTCTCCTGAGGGGGAATAGGCTTTGTCGTGCCCTCTTCACGACTGTCTTGGTGTGTTTGGACCATGATAGTTTGTTGGTGATGTGGACACCAAGAAACTTGAAGCTCTCAACCTTTTCCACTACAGCCCCGTCGATGAGAATGGGGGCGTGCTCAGTCCTCTTTTCTTTCCTGTAGTCCACAATCATCTCCTTTGTCTTGGTCACGTTGAGGGAGAGGTTGTTATCCTGGCACCACACTGCCAGGTCTCTGACCTCCTCCCTATAGGCTGTCTCATCGTTGTCTGTGATCAAGCCTATCACTGTTGTGTCGTCGGCAAACTTAATGATGGTGTTGGAATCGTGCCTGGCCATGCAGTCATGGGTGAACAGGGAGTACAGGAGGGGACTGAGCACGCCCCCGTGTTGAGGATCAGTGTGGCAGATGTGTTGTTACCTACCCTTACCACATGGGGGCGGCCCGTCAGGAAGTCCAGGATCCAGTTGCAGAGGGAGGTGTTTAGTCCCAGGATCCTTAGCTTAGTGATTAGCTTTGAGGGCACTATGGTGTTGAATGCTGAGCTGTAGTCAATGAATAGCATTCTCACGTAGGTGTTCCTCTTGTCCAGGTGGGAAAGGGCAGTGTGGAGTGCAATAGAGATTGCATCATCTGTGGATCTGTTGGGGCGGTATGCAAATTGGAGTGGGTCTAGGGTGCCTGGGATAATGGTGTTGATGGTTGTGGTTAAATTCAATTCAATTATATATATATATTTTTAAATTTAAATTAAAAAGTCATTTAGCAGACGCTCTTATCCAGAGCGACTTACATACATTATTATTATTATTTTATACTGGCCCCCCGTGGGAATTGAACCCACAACCCTGGCGTTGCAAACACCATGCTCTACCAACTGAGCTACATCCCTGCCGGCCATTCCCTCCCATACCCTGGACGACGCTGGGCCAATTGTGCACCGCCCCATGGGTCTCCCGGTCGCAGCCGGCTACGACAGAGCCTGGATTCGAACCAGGATCTCTAGTGGCACAGCTAGCACTGCGATGCTGTGCCTTAGACCACTGCGCCACTTGGGAGACTGGTTAGCTAGCTAACTATAAATAAATAAATAAATAAATAAATAGTTTCGTTCCACAAGATGGTTGGCCAAGATGGTTAGCTAGTTAAAGTTGTGGTTAGCTAACAAAATTACCAACTGCTAACTACACTCTTTTGCTGGATACTGTAACGCCTCCAAAAATGGTGGCCTTTTGACAAACATACAGTAGTAGGTAACCAACACACAGCACACAATCTGCTTTTTAAATAATACCATGTTTACAATACACTTGTTTTTTGTTCTGAGTGACAGTAGCAGTGACAGTGTAACAGTATTGCTTCCGTCCCTCTCCTTGCCCCTACCTGAATTTCGGGCTGCAGTTGCACACTATTGTCTAGTTGTGGCCACAACCAGAATGGATTGTGAACGACTGTTGGCGGATGCATCGCTTGACTGCCATGAGGGTGACAAGCACAATATCGTTTGCGAACTGCAGCACCCCAAACGATTTGTTCTCGAGTTTGAGTTTGTTGAGCAGAGGCTGTGCAAGTTTTGGTTCTACAAAGCTGTGTCCATCATAACATTCAATAATCAATGAATTGCACCATGCAATCAATTAACAGTTCTAAACATGTATTTTCCTTCGCTATGCTGCCTACAGCATGATCTATTTTGCCTGCGTGCAGACAGTTGTTGGCTGTATAGAGTGAATTGCGGCCAGCAGGTCCAACAAACGATTAAAATGAAAGTCACTCAGAAAAACAAATCATGACTCTAGAGTCCGTAAAAAGAGTCATTCAAAAATAACAAATCGTTTGCGAACTGCACATCACTACCCACGAAGCATCGTTGCCTAGCGCTCCACAAAAGCCGTGGTTCTTGCAGAGCAAGGGAAACGACTACTTCAAGGTCTCAGAGCGAGTGACGTCACCAATTTGAAACACTACTAGCTCGCATCCGCTAACTACCTAGACGTTTCACACCGGTTACAGCAGCATGGAAGGTTCTTTTTGACATTATGCTTGGAGTAGCATCCCCAGATAGTGTGGCGAGAAATGACATGCTTAATGCCAGAGGGCATTACTTCACAGACAGCTACAGTACATATGATTTGATTCTGTAATGGTTTTCTTGGAAGATACCATATTAATCCTAATCCTCGCTGCGTGTCTCTGTCGTGTTTAAATCCGGTAATGTTTTCTGTTCCAAATCCTTTCCTGAGCTCAACCTCTCAGGAAATAACCAGAGTAATCAGATGTACCGTATGTTCCTGGGTATGGCGGACATGTGCCTCTTGCTTAATACCTCATCTTTATACACGCATTACGGCCATGTCTACAGTATCAGGAAAAGAAGACCATTACAGACAGTTCACTACATTTTCATAATTGGTTCATCTTTTTTGTACCATACTATATACAGTACCAGAACTGCATAAAAATCCTATAATAGTACATGAAATCTTTCAAATACTTTTACTGATTGTTTGAGCCAGCCTGGAGTGCCAGAATGTCAAACTTTGCAGTGAAAGTGTCTGTCAATTGGAATCCATATTAGTTCATGAGGCTACCCTATTTCGAGAACAACTGCACATTACACATCAGTGTTCTTCCATTTAATAATGTACCTATTCTGGCAGCTCATATCATGTCAGCCACACATTATTTAGATCCGTCTTCATGAAATGATATCAGCCATCTCTCTGTACTGGGACCCTGCCTCAGCAGACAGCTGGCTCTCATGCCCTTAGCAACTGTTCCCAGGGATGTTTTCATGTTTAATTCATCATGTTGGAGGCATAATTGAGTTGATGTGGGCAGGAAGTAACTACGACTCTTTGTCCCTTCCCTGTAGAACGTCTGCAGTACGTTGTGGTGCACTGTGGGGACAACCTGTCACTCAAAGCTGGATGGTGCGGTCGACGGGACCAGGTGTGGTGAGGACAAGGTGAGTGTAGTCTCTTCCAAGGACCAGGTGTGGTGAGGACTAGGTGAGTGTAGACTTCCTGGGATAAAAACATTGTATTCTCTTGATCTTCATCCTCCTTACTAGGATGACTTGAGGAGTTAGGTAAAAAAAAGTTTCAGCTGTTTTTGGTAGTGTGTTTGTAGTAGTGCACTGGAGACTGTGTTTTTGTACCCCCAAATGTAAGAAAATGATGAGTTGGTTGATGAAGACTCCAGTCAAAGGATCTGAGACCTAGAAGATTATAAATCCCTTGTGTTCACAATGCTTCACTGAGCATCCAAATAAAGTATTGAAATGTGTCATTGTCAGTGGTGCTTTGACGGGGAGTGTGTGGCGGTGGGATACCAGCCTGAGAGCATCAAAGGAGGCTGGGCTCCATGGAGCGAGTGGTCTGCCTGTTCCAGAACCTGTGGGGCCGGAGTTCAGAACGCCCAGAGGGACTGCGTCAACCCAGTGTAAGTCCTAATGGATTAGTCTACCCACCTGCACCGGAGAATTAGAATTCGTAGAACGCACATTCCCATTCAAAGCAATATTCCGTGGTGTGTTGACCGGGGGCACAGGATAGTCGAGGTAATTGAGGTAATATGTACGTATCAGATATGACAGTGGACCATACATGCACACCATGCACCATCTGCCAATGGCCCTCTTAGGTAATGGAACACATTTAATCCATGTATAACACATTCAATGTGAACCATGTCACTTATTGAACACAGAGAGTGTCACCAGCATACTAAAGCCCTACTTGGCTAATATGTTAGGAACTGAATAATCTTCTCATTCATTTGGGCTTGAATAGAGTAATCATTGTGCCAGGCTGGTTGTGTCCATTTTGAAATCATTATTTACATTTTTACATTTTAGTCATTTAGCAGACGCTCTTATCCAGAGCGACTTAGTTAGTGAGTGCATACATTATGGTTGTGGATATGGAGTGGAGTCTTTTTCAAGTAGAGTCCAAGGTGTGTTCAGTGTCATCTATGAAAAACATATTTCTGTGGTACCTTATTTAGTGTCTTGTTGCTGTGTCTGTGTTTCTCTGCTTAGAGGCGTAGGCATATTCTGACTGACCTTTTCTCTTGTGCATGGCAGATCCAGTGCTTAGACAGTGTCCTTGCATTTTGAAATAAACATTAAAAGTGTAGAGCTCAATAACATTTTCTTTTATATTTTTCCACTTTTATATTTTCTTATTTGTTGGAATATCGTCCTTTTTGAGGACCTTTTAATCTGTTCCGCTGGCGGTGTGCTCGATTTTATACAACAGTCAGCAACGGTTGTGGCTGAAATAGCCGAATCCACTAATTTGAAGGGTTGTCCACATACTTTTGTGTATATACAGTGGGGGAAAAAAGTATTTAGTCAGCCACCAATTGTGCAAGTTCTCCCACTTAAAAAGATGAGAGGCCTGTAATTTTCATCATAGGTACATGTCAACTATGACAGACAAAATGAGAAAACAAATTTCCAGAAAATCACATTGTAGGATTTTTAATGAATTTATTTGCAAATTATGGTGGAAAATAAGTATTTGGTCAATAACAAAAGTTTCTCAATACTTTGTTATATACCCTTTGTTGGCAATGACACAGGTCAAACGTTTTCTGTAAGTCTTCACAAGGTTTTCACACACTGTTGCTGGTATTTTGGCCCATTCCTCCATGCAGATCTCCTCTAGAGCAGTGATGTTTTGGGGCTGTCGCTGGGCAACACAGACTTTCAACTCCCTCCAAAGATTTTCTATGGGGTTGAGATCTGGAGACTGGCTAGGCCACTGGACCTTGAAATGCTTCTTACGAAGCCACTCCTTCGTTGCCCGGGCGGTGTTTTTGGGATCATTGTCATGCTGAAAGACCCAGCCACGTTTCATCTTCAATGCCCTTGCTGATGGAAGGAGGTTTTCACTCAAAATCTCACGATACATGGCCCCATTCATTCTTTCCTTTTACACGGATCAGTCGTCCTGGTCCCTTTGCAGAAAAACAGCCCCAAAGCATGATGTTTCCACCCCCATGCTTCACAGTAGGTATGGTGTTCTTTGGATGCAACTCAGCATTCTTTGTCCTCCAAACACGACGAGTTGAGTTTTTACCAAAAAGTTATATTTTGGTTTCATCTGACCATATGACATTCTCCCAATCCTCTTCTGGATCATCCAAATGCACTCTAGCAAACTTCAGACGGACCTGGACATGTACTGGCTTAAGCAGGGGGACACGTCTGCACTGCAGGATTTGAGTCCCTGGCGGCGTAGTGTGTTACTGATGGTAGGCTTTGTTACTTTGGTCCCAGCTCTCTGCAGGTCATTCACTAGGTCCCCCCGTGTGGTTCTGGGATTTTTGCTCACCGTTCTTGTGATCATTTTGACCCCACGGGGTGAGATCTTGCGTGGAGCCCCAGATCGAGGGAGATTATCAGTGGTCTTGTATGTCTTCCATTTCCTAATAATTGCTCTCACAGTTGATTTCTTCAAACCAAGCTGCTTACCTATTGCAGATTCAGTCTTCCCAGCCTGGTGCAGGTCTACAATTTTGTTTCTGGTGTCCTTTGACAGCTCTTTGGTCTTGGCCATAGTGGAGTTTGGAGTGTGACTGTTTGAGGTTGTGGACAGGTGTCTTTTATACTGATAACAAGTTCAAACAGGTGCCATTAATACAGGTAACGAGTGGAGGACAGAGGAGCCTCTTAAAGAAGAAGTTACAGGTCTGTGAGAGCCAGAAATCTTGCTTGTTTGTAGGTGACCAAATACTTATTTTCCACCATAATTTGCAAATAAATTCATTAAAAATCCTACAATGTGATTTTCTGGAAAAAAAATTCTCAATTTGTCTGTCATAGTTGATGTGTACCTATGATGAAAATTACAGGCCTCTCTCATCTTTTTAAGTGGGAGAACTTGCACAATTGGTGGCTGACTAAATACTTTTTTCCCCCCACTGTATAGTGTATCTATGTCAATGTGAGTCACCAGAGTTGAGCCACCGTCTCCCCCTCGCTATCACATGCCTTACAGCCACCTGGAAGTACTGTTATCATCCATTTAAAGACATGCCTGTTGTGCACTCTAACAGGATGACACTCCACTCTACTCTCTCCTCTCCCCCAGTCCCCAAGTACAGAGGGAAGTACTGCGTGGGGGAGCGACGGCGCTACAAGACCTGTAACAGCACCCCTTGCCCCCCCAACCAGCCCTCATTCAGACTCATCCAGTGCAGTCACTTCAACACCATGCCTTACAAGGGCAAGTTCTACAAGTGGGTGCAGGTCAACAACAGAGGTGAGTGTGCATTGTTCTAGCTAGATACTGTAGTTAGTAGAACATCAACTGAAATACTCCCCAAGCCCATGATAACACAGAAAACATTTCCAGATGTTCATTTTTTAGCCTGTATGTTTTTTGTAAACTTTAGATTGAGTAGTGTGACAGTGCAGACAAGAGGAACTGACAAGAAAATACACGATCAATTCAGAAACGTTTTTCAAAACCGTTCATTGTTCGACAGCCGAGCAAGGCCTGTGGCAATTTCATGCATGTTTGGAGTGTCAATAAAGCAGGTGATGTGAGTTGCGTATTTGTTGCATTGTGGTATATATCATGTTTCCCTCTATTCACCTGGAACTATGGAAAGTGTGCAAACAAACTATTGTTTGCCATTCCAAACTCCTTACTTTTACAACAGCACTTTGTAATATTTAACTGTACAGTGTGGGCTGTGTTTATCAGGGATAGCAAGAGAAAATGGCTTAACATATGCAATGTACTAGGTAAACATTCCTCAATTTACTTCCCTGAATAGACAAGGTTGGAAACCAACGATTCCTTGTCGAAATAGAAACCATTATATACAGTATAGCACAGCAGCTCCTTGCGTGCCCAGCTCCTAATTTACTGGGTTATCAGCCTGAAGAATGTTGAGACACGGGGGGCGCTAACCAGATTAGCCCTGGCTGAATTCATGTGGGTGTGATGATAACCTTAAGCCTGAGTTAAGGTTACATGGGTCTGTGCAGTGTCAATAATCTGCAGAGTGGTATTCCTCTGACAGTGGATATATTAAAAACAGTACGGAGCATGTAAACCAGGGTAATACTTGAACCCTACAGGATATAGACATAATGAAATGAATGGAATAAGAGATGGAACCGTTGTGGGTACTGTAGAGCCACATCATTTATCAGCATCGTGTAGTTATGTCATGTCTGTGTTAGTACTTCTGAAATCTAAATGAATGGCTGCTTACAATAAAACCCACAGCAAAGGGTTATCCAAGTGAGCTTACATGTTCATAGGCAGTATTTGAAATAAGATAAACTCACAAGCTAACCATTACCCAACTGACAAGCTAACCATTACCCAGCTGACAAGCTAACCATTACCCAACTGACAAGCTAACCATTACCCAACTGACAAGCCAACCATTACCCAACTGACAAGCTAACCATTACCCAACTGACAAGCCAACCATTACCCAACTGACAAGCTAACCATTACCCAACTGACAAGCTAACCATTACCCAACTGACAAGCGAACCATTACCCAACTGACAAGCGAACCATTACCCAACTGACAAGCGAACCATTACCCAGCTGACAAGCGAACCATTACCCAGCTGACAAGCTAACCATTACCCAGCTGACAAGCTAGCCATTACCCAACTGACAAGCTAACCATTACCCAACTGACAAGCTAACCATTACCCAACTGACAAGCCAACCATTACCCAACTGACAAGCCAACCATTACCCAACTGACAAGCTAACCATTACCCAACTGACACGCTAACCATTACCCAACTGACAAGCTAACCATTACCCAACTGACAAGCTAACCATTACCCAACTGACAAGCCAACCATTACCCAACTGACAAGCTAACCATTACCCAACTGACAAGCTAACCATTACCCAACTGACAAGCCAACCATTACCCAACTGACAAGCCAACCATTACCCAACTGACAAGCTAACCATTACCCAACTGACAAGCTAACCATTACCCAACTGATTACACACAGTAACATATGACATAATGCTGCTTTGTCATGTTATGGTTCTGATCATGCTTAAGACAGCTTTGGTTGTCTTAATGCCAGATAGAGCCCTAAAGTAAAGTGATACATTGTCCCTAAAGTGACACCTAACCTGTTTGTGTTTGTCAGTGAACCCCTGCGAGCTGCACTGCCGTCCTTTGAACGAGTACTTCTCAGAGAAGATGCTGGACGCCGTCATTGACGGGACCCAGTGCTACGAGGGCAGCTTGAGCCGAGACATGTGTGTTAACGGCATCTGCAAGGTAGCGGCAACCTTTCCCCAGAAATCTCTCTTCCTCTCTCTCTCTCGCTCTCGCTCTCTCAAATCCCCATCTCAAGCTGAGTAAACGTAACTTTCTAGCCTTGTGTCAAGTTCCCCTTGTTGACGCGCTTGTCTGGTCTCAACATTGTGCTCAGGGACGTCATTTGAAATGCACTTTGTTTAGTCAAGCTGCTGCTTGTTTTCTCTGCAGAATCATCTAGAACATTTGACATTCTGTATGAAAATGAGTGTGCTGTTGGAAAGAAGTCATTATCTCCCACAATACAGTCTCACTGTTGTCCAATATCTTCATCCAAAATGTCAGACTGTGCTCTAAGGTCTGATTGGACCTAGAATAATAATTATACACTTTACCCAAGATGCATAATTTGGTGAATTGATGTAGCAGGGACACGTTTTGTTGTGGTAACCCCAGATGAACCGTTCTGTGTAAATGCTGGCTTTGTTTAATTGGTTTTAGCTGAAAGCAGTTAAATATTTAGTCTGTTTATAAGCCAGTCAAATATTGATGTTAGGATCTATGATTTTAGCCGTTTATCTTGTTTTATTTACATTTTCAAACAAGACCAACATTGTGACCCTGGTCTTTGGTTTCCATGGTTTGCACTCATGTCCAAGACATGGGTTGCGTTCCCCTGCACAGACGTTGCATGCATTAACCAATGATTGCGTGCCACGTCATCGACTGTGCCGTTGCGCACCAGATTGCTTTAACATGTGATGTGGTTAACTGATACGTAAAATACCTATCCAGGCATCGTATGATCTGGCATGCGTCAGCAACGCCTGAGCAGAGTAACGCGCCCGTTATCTAAAGACTGGAATTTAGAGTTCACAATGCAACTGAGGTTAAAGGGAAAGATCACCTCAAGTTAAAGGGATAGTTTCATTTGTGAATCATCACTCTACAACAGGGCTGCCCAACACTCTTCCTGGAGATCTTCCGTCCTGTGGGTTTTCAGTCCAACCCTAATTTAGCATATCTGATTCTACTTATTGGCTGCTCAACAAGACCTTAACTAGCTGAATCAGATATGCTAAATTAGGGTTGGACTGAAAACCTACAGGACAGTAGATCTCCAGGAAGAGGGTTGGGCAGCCCTGCGCTAGAGGGATAGTTTACCCTAAAACAAAGTTTGTCAGATGTTTTCATACTGCACAAAGTCTAAAGTTTAGCTCAGTCCACACCATCTGCTGTATAGATCTGGCTAGGCTGTATCAGGATAAATCAGCAGGTCTCAATTTCACCGAAACTACTGTAAAAATGAGCTATTGCACATTCGTCAAACTCATTCCACGGAGGGCCGAGTGTCTGCGGGTTTTCGCTCCTCCCTTGTACTTGATTGATGAATTAAGGTCACTAATTAGTAAAGAACTCCCCTCACCTGGTTGTCTAGGTCTTAATTTAAAGGAAAAACCAAAAACCCGCAGAATGAGTTTGACACCCCTGAGCTATTGGAACCTCAAGTTGGCTCAAGTAAAAGTGAAAGTCACCCAGAACAATACAACTTGAGTAAAAGTCAGAAAGTATTTGGTTTTAAATGTACTTAAGTAGCAAAGTAAATGTAATTGCTAAAATATACTTTATCAAAAGTAAAAGTATAAATAATTTCAAATTCCTTAAATTAAGCAAACCAGATGGCACAATTCTTGTTTTTATAAATTTACGGATAGCCAGGGGCACACTCTAACACAATTGACAAATGAAGCATTTGTGTTTAGTGAGTCCACAAGATCAGAGGCAGTAGGGATGAGCAGGGATGTTCTCTTGATAAGTGTGTGAATTTGACCATTTTCCTGGCCTCTTAAGCATTCAAAATGTAACGAGTACTTTTGGGTGTCAGGGAAAATGTAGTACATTATTTTCTTTAGGAATGTAGTGGAGTAAAAGTAGTCAAAAATATAAATAGTAAAGTACAGATACCCCCCCCCAAAAAAAAAAAAAAAAAAAAAAGTTGTACTTTAAAGTATTTTTACTTAAGTACTTTACACCACTGAACATTAGATCACGTTTGAGCTATGGAAATGTTTGTCAAACGTTGTTTTTAAGGTGAACTATTCCTCTGATGATAAATGCTCATTCCTGAGTCATGTCACTCTACAGGAGATTGGAAAGCCTTGTGCTCAAAAGTTTCCCTCACATTTTGTTTTTGCATGTCAGACAGGTGATGTTCGTTCATGTATGCATGCATGACTGTAAGTTGCTTTGGATAAAAGCGTCTGCTAAATGGCATATTATATTATATTTATGTTATTTTTCTGCATCACCTCAGACAACACAAATTTTTTTTATGATCTCAGTGACTTAATATCTGGCAGAACAACTGTGATTTTGAATATTTAATGTTTTTCTGATCCATTTTTTATTTTGACCACATTCTTTCCACACAACGTTATTATAGTACGTACTATGCTTCTTTTTGGAAAAGACACGTGAATATTTTACTTGCAAGGTGGACGTATTGATGGATACAGTCATCATCTCCCACAATAAGTCTCACTCTTGTCCAATATCTTCATTCAAACTTTCAGACTGTGCTCTAAGATCTGATTTGGACGTAGAAAAGAATTTGGTGACTTCATGTAGCGGGGACACATTTTGTTGTGGTAACCCCAGTTGAGTTGTTCTGTTTTTAAATGTTGGCTTTGCTTCATTGGTTTTGGCTGAAAGCAGTTAGGGTTAGGATCCACCTGTTTATAAGCCAGTCAAATATTAACGTTAGGATCCAACGGTGAATTTGAATATAGAACGTTTCTCTGATCAGTTTTCATTTTGTCCATATTCTTTCCAAATAACATTAGTATAGTGGATGGATAGTTCGGTGGCTTCATGTAGCAGGGGACACATTTTGTTGTGGTAAAACCCCAGTTATCAAATGCTAATTCCCGAGTCCTGTCACGCTACAGGAGATTGTACTGCCTTGTGCTCATTGCTTATTATAGAAGTTATTTGTTTGTCAGACCATTTTGATGTAAATTTTCTGCAACACTCATTATTCATTATCTCAGTGACTTTACAGAGTAAATGGGGAGATGATTATCTAGCAGAACTGTGCATTTGAATATAGAAAGTTCCTCAGATATGTTTACATTTCGTCCACATTATTTTCACATAACATTATTATAGTACACACTGATTATTTTAGGAAAAAGACAGATTGTGAATATTTTGCCTGCAAAGTGGACGTATTGATGGTTACGTTTGTTTCAGTACGAGTACATTATTTTATCCAAGGTTATCTTCATGGGATTCCGGTGAACCCTAAAGATTGAACCCAAAGACGTACCCATGTCCTAAAATGGACACCATACACTGTTATGCGTGGCGTCCATTTTAAGGTTATCCGTTATCCTCTGCGGAAGGCCTGTCATTCTTCTCTGTTGTCAGTTCAATCGTTATACAGTATGAATCTGCAGGTTCTTGCTTTGTTTTGATCTTGAACATGTTCTGTGTTTTCAGAATGTGGGGTGTGACTACGAGATTGACTCCAACGCGGTGGAGGATCGCTGTGGGGTTTGCCATGGCAACGGGTCTACTTGTGAGACTGTGAAGAAGACCTTTGAGGAGAGCGAAGGGCTTGGTATGACACTCCTGCTACTCTCTGCACTTAAAGTGGCGCTCCAGTCTCCATTTTACACCTGATTTACTTAACAAAAGGCACATCCCAATAGGCCCCCTGTAGCTCAGTTGGTAGAGCATGGCGTTTGCAACGCCAGGGTTGTGGGTTCGCTTCCCACGGGGGGCCAGTATGAAAAATGTATGCACTCACTAACTGTAAGTCGCTCTGGATAAGAGCATCTGCTAAATGACTAAAATGTAAATGTGGTCGAGGTATGTAATGACATAGCACAAAGAGGAGGGGGAGGGGGAGGGGGAGGGGGGAGGTTTCCTCTATTTGTTTATCTATTGCTCCCCTAAGGTTCCTCAAGCAAGGGGGGAGGCCGATGACGTCACAGATTCCCATAAGACCAACTCCTTGAATGCCCTACTCCTTGAAGTTTGCAGTTGTCTAAAAAACACTATCTCAATGTATTTTATTTTTTTACCATTTAGTGTGTGTACTTTACTGTATTTATACTTGGGATGCCACCTTTTCGACGGTAAAAGTTATAGGAATCACTGGAGGACATATACTGATATAGGATCAGCTCTCCTCAACCCAATCCAAACCTTAACCATTATGAGATAAACAACCAGACTGACCCTGGAACAGGTTTTAAAGTGATAGTGTTTTTAAAGCGGTAGACAGTGTAACTGTACACTGGGTATTGTGATCAGCGTCCCATAGCATGGCTTGAGATGTCAGTTTGAATGTGAACTAGGTCATGTACCGCATCTCGAGTTTCTGTCTCATAATCAACCAAATGTTTGGTGGTACAGTATTATATTTCCATAGACTTCAAAGCATAAGTCTGACATCCGTATTAAGAAGGTATCAAACTGGGTGGATTACAAGACAATAAACTAGGTCAACTAGAAAAGTAAAGTTTCAGTAGAAGTGTACTGAGAGTTGGAAGTTGAACAGCCCCTCTTGACTGGACCCTGTCTGTCTCCCAGGCTATGTGGACATTGGGCTGATTCCAGAGGGGGCGCGGGACATTCGCATCGAGGAGGTGGCCGAGGCTGGGAATTTCTTGGCTCTCCGGAGTGACGACCCCGGCAAGTACTTCCTGAACGGCGGCTGGACTATCCAATGGAATGGGGAATACAAGGCGGCGGGGACGGTGTTCACCTATGAGAGGACAGGCCAACTGGAGAACCTGACCTCCCCTGGACCAACCTTAGAGCCAGTGTGGATACAGGTAGGATCACACACACACACACGTAGGTGTGCACCAGACACACACAAACACACACACACGCCAGACACTCCGAACTGTCGTTTAACAGGCATTGCATGGTCTGTTTATCTAAAATACCGTCCACTTGGGAGATGTTACCCAGGTCAACCAACACATAAACAGACAAATATGTGCACTTACACACATTTTAATTTGTTTTATTCAACTTTAATCAAACTGGGATATCTTTTCAATTAAATTCTATTTTGCATGATTGGCTCTACGATGATAGTTTTATGGAGATCTAAGATGATGTTCGCTTTTGATTATAAGTAGCTATTCCCCTAACAGGGTTTGGTTGTTCAGGCAGTGTAGGTGTTTACACTGAGCTACAGTAATTCAATAAATGTATATTTTTTCATAGGCTGTGTCATTTCAAAAACTTTAACCCTGCTGTGCCAACCTGCGCAAAACTAAGGCAACAGTTTCCAAGAATTGTTTGTTGTTGACCTTGAGAGAATCCACTTTGAATCTGTACAATTCTCATCCGGCGGGAATTCCTTTTTGTTATGGCTACAAAAGAGAAGGGTTCTTTGGTCGAAGCCGTTTCATTTCGAAAGGTGGTGCAGTATTCTGTCCTCCCTGTCACTACAAATTCCCCCCATGTACAGTAAATGAATCCACAGCTACACCCGTACAAAGGCATCACAACAACAGAGCCACAATCCCAATGCCTGTCTTTAGACTTTAAAGTAACCGACTGCCCAGTGAAAATCTCACTTTTAACTAATATCTGTTAATTCATATCCAAATAATGTTGTTGACTCGTCCTATACTCTTATTTCTGGCAAAAGCATAAAAAAGACAAACATCTCAAACAGACGGTTTCAAAAACGCTTGCTATTTCCTCATAGAACATGTCATCTCCCTAAGGAGGATGAGCTGGCCAATCAGTGGTCTAGAGGAGGATGAGCTGGCCAATCAGTGGTCTAGAGGAGGATGAGCTGGCCAATCAGCGGTCTAGAGGAAGGATGAGCTGGCCAATCAGTGGTCTAGAGGAGGATGAGCTGGCCAATCAGCAGTCTAGAGGAGGATGAGCTGGCCAATCAGTGGTCTAGAGGAGGATGAGCTGGCCAATCAGCAGTCTAGAGGAAGGATGAGCTGGCCAATCAGCAGTCTACTTGCATGAATATTTTAATGACCGGTATACGACCACACCATTCCAACACAGAAAAGCTGCTTTTTAACTTACTTAATTAAACATTTTTGGAAGGAAAACTATTTAACTCATATTGTAAGTAATTTTAGGTCATATCTCATAGAAATCTGGAAACACTGGGCAGTTACTTTAAGCAGAAGTTGTTTAAGCAGGCCTTTGAGTTGTTGAAGCAGGCCTTTGAATTGCTGAAGCAGGCCTTTGAATTGAACGCGGCTCCAGCAGCATCTTCTGTTGTCCCCAAAGAAAGTGGCATCAGGGTTCATTAGGGATGTAGGCCAGGTGGTGGAGGCAGTACCAGGGGGCAGATAAAGGGCTTCGTCCCACTGTGGAGATCTGAAGCCCCCTAGCCTGGCATGGTGCCCACTGGGGTGGGGGTGGTGGGGGGACAGCTTCTGTCTGTCTGTCTGTCTGCTGGACCACAGTACTGGCACTGATGTCATGTTGACCTCTTCTCCTCTTAGTCCCTGGCACTACTGGAGTCTACTAATAGCCTCTCTCTCTCTCTCTCTCTCTCTCTCTCTCTCTCTCTCTCACGCTCTCTCGCTCTCACTCTCGCTCTCTCTCATGAGTTGATGCTTAAAACTCTCTCTCTCTCTTTCTCTCTCCAACCTCCACCTTCTCTCTCTGTCTCCTCTCATTCTATCCCCCAACCCTTCTCTCACTCCCGTCCCCTCCTTCTCTCTCTCACTCCCGTCCCCTCCTTCTCTCTCGCTCTCGCTCTCTCTCTCTTTCTCTTTCTCTCTGCTTGATCATGCTGATTTGCCTCAGCTCCTTTTGAAGGCAGTTCAGAGTTCCTCACTCAACATGGTGTCACTGACAAATGAGTGTTTCTGTGGCGGTGTCTGATGTTTCAATGTTTTTGTTATGAACTCTAATAAGACCACGTGTGTAGCATAAGTGCACAATGTGTGAAGACTTGTAGTTGTTATGTTCTGCCGTTAGTGAGGTAAATAGCTACTTAATAAGTGGAAACCTGTAATCAACAAGTGAGAAATGATTGATCATGTGTACATAACTGTATGAGATTCACACACAGCGCAGCACTAAAACAACGTAACAATCTACAATGTTATTTCTGAACATTTAGCGATAAAATTCCCATGCAATACAGTATGTCTATCTCACTTTGAGGACACAGTGGAAACAGATTATTTCCAAATCATTTAGCCCCGTCACAAGGCCCTATGACTCTGTCTCAGCCAAAATACTTTTGTTTTGGAACATGTGCCACTGAAATTCAATTTTCTTATCGCCGTCTCCCGAGGAAACGTTTCGGAATTCCTGTCAGAGAGAAATACCTTTCAAAAGAAATAGCTGCACCTTGTCCAAGTAAAACCCTGTGGAGAGAGCAGCTTTTGAGCCAACTCCCCAGATCTCAGCTTCACCTTGCCATTAGTGTCAAAACTGTGTCTGCTCACACTCTTTACCCGTCTTGCACAAAGCTCATTCATCCCTTAAGTGTGTCAGCCTGTCCAAACACAGGATAAGGGGACTAGCAGCTCGGTTGTTAAGTCCTCTCAAATGGACACAACAGCTCATTGTAACAAGCTTCCAGTGACACACAGAAAAGTCAGTGGCTTGAGGGAAGGGCCAAGGAGGTGTCAAAAGAGAGCTCAAAGTGCAAACACGTAACCATGGTGTTTGGAATTAGACATTCTTTGCTAAGCGTTGATGGATATTGGAGATGAGGAGCGTTCCCTATGGAACTGGATTCCATAGCATTCTTCAGACGTTATCCATGGCCTCATGTTGGAGGTGGTGATGATGGAGGGTCCGGGGTGGATGGGCTTTGTATGTCCCATTTTGACCACTTTACCCCATGTGTCTCACTTGAAGTGGCAATCACTGTCATGTTTCAGATATCACCAGGGAGGTAAGGTGTCTGGTAGATTGGACACATTTACCGTGGGTTTGGGGGAAACTGGAGAAATATATTTATAAACCTTGGCAACACGTTGTACAGAGAAAACACATTTGCATTTCACTTAGACAAGGATGTTCATTTAAATATTGAGCGATCACAGCCAAGTGTAAACAGACTCTTTAAAATCAGATATGTTAATAATATCACCATCACACTCCACTTTCTGCCAGCCTTGTTTGTCGGAGCTTGATGAATTTGCTTTGCTCCTCTGTTTCTGCTGACAACCCATGAACTAGATATGGGTCTACTTATCATGCTATCAGAAGGTGTAAGACATAAGACAAATCAAATAGCTTCACAAACGTAGTCCATACGCCAAGCTCCTGAGTGGCGCAGTGGTCTAAGGCACTGCATCACTAGAGATCCTGGTTCGAATCCAGGCTCTGTCGCAGCCGGCCGCGACCGGGAGACTCATGGGCGGCGCACAATTGGACCAGCGTCGTCCAGAGTAGGGGAGGGAATGGCCGGCAGGGATGTAGCTCAGTTGATAGAGCATGGCGTTTGCAACGCCAGGGTTGTGGGTTTGATTCCCACGGGGGGCCAGTATAAAAAAAAATATATATGTATTCACTAACTGTAAGTCGCTCTGGATAAGAGCGTCTGCTAAATGACTAAAATGTAAATGTAAAATGTACCCATACATTTAATATCCATGACCTTTTGATGATGAAAGACAATGTACTGGATTAAAAATGAAACAAGTGGCTGTGATTTTATATTCGAATACATGCAATTTATCACAATTATTCATGACTAATTGAGTATTCAGTTTTGGCTTGTTGCTAGCTAGTGCCTGAGTAGCTGCTTACGGAATAATTTGTTATATCAGTGGTTTTTATTCTGAATTGTCAGTGTATCAGTTAGTCCCATGAGAACCCGCTTTGCTGTCAGTTTTGGGAAAAAGCTGAAGACTATTGTATTGTTCAATCAAATATTGCTTTCTTGTTTCCCAGTTTGCCTGAGGTGAGCTTCAATCCTCTCACAATGTCACTATTAGAGCTGATTCTATTAACAATAATTGAATCGGCGCCAATGAATTGACAGTAAAAACAAATATGAATTGTTTGTAGCCATAACCTTTTTGTTCTGTGCTGTCACTGTGAATGACAAATGACAGTTCTTTGGGGAACATCATTTGTCATAGGCAAGCACATATCTTGACAGCCACAGTCTCAAATTCTGTTTAGTCTGCATCATGTAATTATTTAGCCCCCGTAGAAGAGAGATCACGGCCAGCGTTTGTCAATTTCAGATGGGCTGTGTACAGGTGCAGTGATCGGTAAGGTGCTCTGACAACTGATGCTTAAAGTTAGTGAGGGAGATAAGTGTCTCCAGCTTCAGAGATTTTTGCAATTTGTTCCAGTCATTGGCAGCAGAGAACTGGAAGGAATGGCGACCTACTGACTAACGAGATGGACAAGCCAGCACAGGTGTAACACATACTTACTAACGAGGTGACACCAATCGGTGCTCCCTGCGTGCTAACGTGTTACCTCGAAATATACATGGAAAAACCAAAACTTGTAACAGTAGCTAGATGTGAAAATTGCATGTACTTTCAGAATTGTTTGGCGAGCTACTGGTAGCTCGAGTAGAGGAGGGCTCCTGATAACGACTCTTATAAGCCTTTGTTTAACATTACAAATGGGTGATCAATTACACAATATTGAACACTGGGCTCTCTGGGAGGACATTCGAGCACAATGTGAAATAGGATAGAGAATGAGTACAAGACGTTGCTATTTTCGTGGAATAACAACAACAAAATCTTTTCTAATTTCACTGTCGTGCTCATTTGTTTTCAGGCCAGACGAAACCCAAAATTCTGGCCTCCACTTTCACAGATTCCTCATGTCTGATTGATTGGATCATTCAAATCTACTGAAAGCATTAAGAAATACTGTAGCCCACAGCATGACAGCATCATGCTGCAGTGTATGAATGATGTTACTATGGTAACTCTGCAGCGCTCAGTATGCTGTAACCCTCTGCATGCAGATGCCAGATCTACATGCAAATCCCCAGAGTCTAGATTTGAGTTTATGTTGTGAAATCTGTTATTGGATCATGGGGAAATAACTAAGTTGACTTCAGGAATCATATCGGAATGGGTCAACTTGACAAAGTCCAAGCACAAAGTGGTATGCCTGATCGTCAAGTCATGTCACCGTGAGTTTGACAATCATTTCACACAAAGTTAGAAGTGACAAACGCTGGCCGTGATCTCTCTTCTACGGGGGCTAAATAATTACATGACGCAGACTAAACAGAATTTGAGACTGTGGCTGTCAAGATATGTGCTTGCCTATGACAAATGATTTTCCCCAAAGAACTGTCATTTGTCATTCACAGTGACAGCACAGAACAAAAGGGTTATGGCTACACAAAATTCATCTTTGTTTTTACTGTCAATTTATTGGTGCTGATTCAATTATTGTTAATAGAATCAGCTCTAATAGTAACATTGTGAGAGGGTTGAAGCTCACCTCAGGCAAACTGGGAAACAAGAAAGCAATATTTGATTGAACAATACAATAGTCTTCAGCTTTTTCCCAAAACTGACAGCAAAGCGGGTTCTCATGGATCTAACTGATACACTGACAATCCAGAATAAAAACCACTGATATAACAAATTATTCCGTAAGCAGCTACTAAGGCACTAGCTAGCAATATTTCGAGGTAGCACGCAGGGAGCGCCGATTGGTGTCACCTCGTTAGTAAGTATGTGTTACACCTGTGCTGGCTTGTCCATCGCGTTAGTCAGTAGGTGTTACACCTGTGCTGGCTTGTCCATCGCGTTAGTCAGTAGGTGTTACACCTGTGCTGGCTTGTCCATCGCGTTAGTCAGTAGGTGTTTCACCTGTGCTAGCCCAGGTGATGTTTAAGAGTGGACGGCCCAGTGCTCCAGTGGAGCTTGAGAGATGTTGGGAGAGCTACACTTCACGTCAGCTGAGGGGCTATTTCGAGCTCAGTTTGACAGAAGCCTGAGTTTTGGTGTTTCCCCTGTTTGTTTTGCTCCATATTCTTTTTACTCCCTATCCTAAGTTGTTGTGGGTTTTTCATTTAGTTTGTCGTTTCGGAGGCAAACTAGTGGGCATCCATGGTGGGTGTCTTTTAGAACCCCTTTTGAACCCCCTTCGGTTTTGGTTGTCAAAGTGATTTTCTTTCAGTTCCCTTTGTTGTGAGCGACATTTGAAGTTTGTCTTGTTGGGACTATAACATTACTATCTAATCAACGCAACATTGGCATTATCCCACCCCTGGTTAGCCACTATTGTCTTAAAAAGCCAAACCTAACACAATATCTGTCAATGAATTTCCAGCAATGTGTCGTGCGTTTGTCCATTACTCCCAATGTAGCCAGTTGATGTGATAACCGTCTTGT